TGTGGGGTGTGTCAGGAGCCTTACAGGGGCTCAGGCAGCCATCTGCCACCCCACTCCAGCCAGCCTGAGCCTAATTCTCAGTCCAGCCCGGCCCAGCAGGCCTGCTGTCTCATCCCTTCAAAGGGGGTTCCTGCAGAGGGGGGGTGAATGGGGGGTGGATACAAAGGCAGGGAGGGGATGGGGAGCACCACCTTGGGGCCCTCTGACCCGGTCCCTGGTCCACTGGGGCAGACGGCCCAGACAGACAGCACCATGTCTACTCCTCGCCGCCGCCTCTTTTTTTTGTTGTTGTTGTCAGCCAAGGAGACCCCCAAGGGGTGACGGAGGGACAAGGGAGGGAGGGGAGTGGGGGTGGGGGAGACACAGAAAGACAGGAGGGTGCTTTGGCAAATGAGCACAATGAGACTGACACTGACCACCCTGACCTCCACCCCCTTTTCCCTTTCCTCCTCTGTTTATCGTTGAGTACAAATCTCTGGATGGACAGACTGCTCCCTCACCTCCGCCCCCCCACAGCTTTTATTTTTTTCTCCTTTGTCAGCAGCTCCAGCTGGTGGAGCTCCCATCCTGTGTGTGGCTGAGAATGCCCCTACTGGCCAAACAGCAGCTAACGTTCGAACCCGTGGCACGCAGCTCTGCTTTGATGTGGTGTGGATGTGTAGCTGTGTGTCACCCCCCCCCCCCCCCCCCCTGCTGAAACAGCTGCACTCCTTCAGGCAGGCAAGACGATCTGAAATGTTTGATGAGACGGAGCATCAGAAAAACGGGGTGGGGGGCTTGCCTCCTCCTCCTTCTGTGGGAACTAGGCAGTTGTGGTGAGCTTTTGGATGGTACGGTTGTAGTACTGGGTGGTGAGTGACTCCAGGGGGCTCCAGCGGTGTGCGTGCAGCTCGATGACCTCCATGAGCAGAGAGCGGGTCAGCTGGGACTCGGCCGGACACAGCATCTTGTCTCTGACGGCTGCTAGGAGCTCCGTCATCATCTCAGGAAGCTGCTCCTCCAGGAGACGTCCCGCCGCCTGCAACTACAGAAAAACAACAAATAAAATAAATAAAGAGACAGTTAATTATGTGTGTTTTTTACAAGGAGCAAGAGACAAAGTCTGGCACCTTGTTATTGTGAATCCTCTCAGACAGCACAGATTCACACACCCTCTGGACATGGAGATGTGTTTTTAACATCTAGGAACTGTTTGTAATTCAGAGCTCAGACTACCTTTGCTCTTGCTGTGCTGATACCCCAAGGCCTTCCTTCCTCTCTGCTGCTGAAGCATAAATCCAGTTTATTTCCATTTGTTGCTCCCTGAGAATGTGCTTCTACAGGTGATAAGGGTTTGCTTTAAGTGAGTAAATTCAGTACGTTCCAACACTCATTTCTTTACTCTGAGAAAAAAAATAAACATTTAGAAATAGGAATTTTTAAATGTGCCTTTTCTATTTAAAAAAACAGAGGTGTAGTAACAAAATACATTTACTTTATTACAGTGCTTAAGTCATGTTTTAAGAGGATCTGTAATTTTACCAAGTATTTTTTTAAATTGTAACTTTTATTATTTTGTTACATTCAAAACATAAAAATAATTCTTTTACTACTTTACTTTAAAATTTAATACCTCATTAAATGCTACAAATTTAAACAAGACTGGAACTCATCATGAAAAGAGTCGATTACACACTCTAAAAAATTAAGTGTTGAATCTACTTAATCAAGTTATTTAAACTGGTTCCACTAAACGGACTCGAGTTAATTGATTTACATTTACTCATCTCTGTTTAGTGGAACCAGTTGATATAACTTGGTTAAGTAAATTCAACGCCTCATTTTTTAATGTGTAAAAGTACTTTTACTTTCTGGATAATTGTGAGCAGTTTTATGACTTTTACTTAAGTACTTTTCTTATCTGTGAAATTCATTTTTACCAGTCATTTTCTGTTAAGGAATTTTAACTTTTATTTAGTTATTTTTTTCCAAGTACTTTATACACCTCTGTTAAAAAACTATTTTGTGCAAAACCACTTGCTTTCATTTATCTTTACCAAACAGCGAGACACATAGAACTGCAACAAAAAACAAAAAACAGTCAAGCTGAAATAAACAAGATATAAAACCTTACTTGTTTTCCTCATAACCTAAAGAACAGCTTTGTGTTTGATGGTTATAATCCTAAAGGCAGGTGTGGTAAAATAAAACAAGCTTGTTTTAATTACTTCTTTAAAGAACACTTCAGATGTTTTAAACTAGGATTTTGCGGATAATTTATGAACAATAAATATTTTACCTGTTGTAGATAACTCTTATATTGGCCTCAGTTTGAGGAAATAAACTGAACTCGACCAGACTGAAGAGCTAACTGCTACTCCAGGCAGGCTCAAAAACAAAAGCATCTCAAAGTAACTCCAATCTTTCCTAATTTTTACTGGCTCATGCAAACACTTCTAAATTTCCTGTGACATGCATATCCTTAAAGAACAAAAAGTCAATAAAAACATCTTTATAAATAGGACACTTGATGTAATACTTATGATTTTACTTATTTTGTCACATAACTGGCATATATTTTTCACTTAGCTCAGCCAAAGTGAAACAGGAAGTGACATCAAAGGGAAGCTCTTTAAAAAGGAAACAGTTTTTTTTGTTTAATGAAACAAGATTATTTGAACTCTGACTTTTCTTCATCTCTCCCTGACAGTTACTCAAAATAATCTAAAGAAACATCAAATTCTTCTCCGTCTGTGTTGTCAGCTGTTGTAGCAACACTTTGCTCACATTCAGATAATTCCTCTTTGACATCACTTCCTGTTACTTCACATGCAAACATTTCAACAACTGCTCATTTCAGCATTGTGATTTTTTTTGCAATGTTATCAGTGTCATCTGTCCAAAAATACATTCATATCCATTACAAAAATCTGATGTCACAGTAACTTTAATTTCACATTACATGGTTATTTTAGCAAACATACTATAATACTCCTGCAAGAAGTGCTGTAGGCTGTATCATAAGTGCTACAGCAAGCTGCAGATGTTGCCATTTTCTCAACAATGAAAGAATAGAATTCTATTTAGTAATATGAAATTGATGACATGGACTTTTTTATTTTTAGATTTAAGTTCTTTTAAGATAGCAGATTACTAATTTGTTAGTGTATTTATACCTTTATTTTTGACTTTATTTTTTAACCACAATGTTTTTTTTAAGATTTTTGTGTGCACGTGTCTCTGTATGGACTGACGGGACTTTTGGAGGACATTTTTGCAAAGTCAGGGCAGTGCTCAAAGGGCTGCTTGAGGGTCAAGACCTTTAAGTTGCATGTGTATGTTTGTGTGTGGTCTGTACCTCCATGGAGCAACAAAGGACCGCGTCCTCCTTGACATCTGTTGACTCGAGCAGCTACGAGAAAAAAAAATACAACAACACTTGATGACTATACTAGGAGAGCAAGAGGCCACATAAACTAAACTAAAACCTGAAAAATCTAAATGCAGCAACATGTAACTGCACAAATAAGGAAAGCCAAGTGAGTAAACAACCTAAAAAAAAAAAAAAGGCCAGAGGATACACAGTATAAATATACTATGAGTATATTTGGATTTAGGCCAAATGGGAAATGTTTGAGATCATTAATCATCAACAAGAGAGGAGAAATAAGTCCTAATCACAGAAGTAAACAGTTTTTTTTTCTTTTTGCATTAACATTTTAAATCTTAAAGACAACAGAGCATCCTTTCAGGCTGACAAACACATTACACATCAAGGTTTGCTTTATGTGAGCTACACACAAACACACACACTGTAAACACACTCTGGAGCTAAAGTCAAACAGCAGAGCTGGTAAAAGCACCATTTTTTAGACATGAAAACGCATTCTGTCTTCTGCAGAGCGAAAGAAGCCCACTTTTGAGAAAAGAACTGAAAAACANCCCCCACCCCCAATTGCTGGCCCCAAACCTATACAACTGGCAATTCAAAACAATACAGAAAAGGGTGATGAGAGATTAAAATATGAACATTAATCATCAAACTGCACCAAAACTGTACTTTTTCAAAATCTAACGCTACTTTACTCCAAATGAACCTGTCAACAAATAGCTGCTGAATAGAGAGGAAAAACCTGCTGCTTAGAAGAATTTTATGTAAAAAATAAGCAAAAGCATCAAGCACAACATCATAAAATGCATTAAAATAAACATAAGTCTATTGAGTGATTCATTTAGATAATTATACAATCAAATGATAAATATTCTGAATTAAATCACAACTTTCAAGTCTCAGTTCACTTTCACCACTGTCCAAAAAGCTCAAAACAAAAATCAAATTCTAAAACCTCCTTATTTATTTTTTTATCTAAATTTCAAACTGATAAAACCGAGCCCGCAAAGGCATCAAGAAAGAAACATCAAGTTTAAAAAGAAAATCACAAATAAATGCTCTAAAATACATTTGGATAACAATATTTGTACTATACTTGGTGACTGTATGCTGTCTATGCAAGTTGATTCCAAAAGGCTCAAAATAGTGATGAAGGAATTAAAAACAATTAAGTTTTGCATTAAGTGTTTTTATGCTGTATTTTGTCTACATATTGTTTAACAAATGAGCCAAAGTGTAATTTACTGAGACAGCAAAAGAGTAGATTTAGAGTAAACAGACTGCATATACACACAGGAAGTTTAATACAACTATCTGATTGGATGATCTGGATTCAGACTGAGTGGGCCTCTTATTTCCACACCGTAAGCTCGGTGGTATTTCACCTCTCGTCCAGTCTCACAGACGTCAGCCCCTCAGTATGCTGAGACAGGCGTGGTGACAAAGTGGCTGCTTGATGAAGGAAATCGAGTCTCGGCATTTCCAGAGAAAGAAAACTATCTGAGGAGCTGAATTAGCTCATAATGAGTTCCTCTGGGAGCTGAGGATGAAGTTTTGTTCAATGCTTTTAAAATGGACCGATCTATGTGTCATCATCGACTTTCCTGCTCGCTCAAGTGGCCTTTTTGGTTCTGACGTTGCCTCACGGCAAACATCTACCGCCTCGGCTACTTTTTGTTTTTGTAGGGAAGAGACGCCTGCAGAAAAATGAGCTTCTATGAATATGGAGAACGCCACGTCCATACGATCAATCTGAGTCTTTTAAATGTTCAACTATTGTTTTATTTATTGATTATTCAATGCATTTACTTTATTACATGTTGCTGAAAACTGTTATATAGTTAGTATTGAACAAGACTAGTCTTTCCAGCTGTTGCATAGCAACAACAGGTGTCACTTCAGGATTAGCTCCACTTACATTATTTATTATCTCATTATTTCCGTTGCATTAGCTCCCATCACTAACAAAATAAAACAACAAACAGAGAAACATCTATAACGAGTGTATTTATCAGGACCTTTGCAGAATGATTCAGAAATCAGGGCAGCACCTAAATAAGCTGTGATGTCACTGCTCGCTGCAGAGGATGGACGTGCTTTGTGTGCACAAACCAATAACCTGGGAGGCATTTAACTCAACGAAATAGGAAACACGTAAGAACTTGAGTTAACTGCAAGCTGCCCTTTTACTATCCAGGACTTCAAGGCTGATGTTTGATAACACACAATACTATATAAAAAAGATGAAATCATTCAAATTCATTTATTTGATTTTATTGCAAAAAAGTCACACTGATGTGTCCACATTTATGTTTACTCAACTATAGCTTAAATAAATAAGACAATTAAATTGATTCTGATATTTTTATTACTACTGCATCATTATGATTGCCGAGTTTCTTGTTAAAAATAAGCTTTAATTCTTTAAAATTTTATAAAATAAAATAGGTTAGGCTGATGGATATTCTTTTAAACACACCCACTCGTGATCCTCAAAAGGAACTGATTTAAGTAGTGAATTAATTAATTAGTGAATCAAATATTCTTCAATCAACTCTTTCAGTTTTTCAGAACGGTTTGCTGATGTTCAATCAGTTAAATCCATTTTATCATTAAAACTAATCAGTTTTTGCAAATTTGAAAAAAAAAAAAAAACCCATTTGAAATAAATCTTCCTCTGTGATCACAGCATGTTAAATCCCCAGAAAAATAATGTTTTGAGATTTTTTTGTTTTCTTTCATTAGTAATAAATAAACAAGCATTTTGCTCTGTAATCAGTACAACCTTTCAAACCATTTAAATGGGTAAAAATTCCACCAAAGCAACAGAAAGCTGATGAAATACGCAACAACATGCTTTTGCTTTACTAATTTCTATCAATTTGAAACAACAAAAAAGTGGTACCTCTTTAAAAAAAAACAGCTGAATATTTCTGGAACAGCCTTAATTCGGCAAAAATATTCAAAGTACCTGTAACTGATTTTCAGTCAGTTTGAATACAACAAGTGTTTATCTGTGGTGATGAAACAGTTGTCACAGTGTTTCAATAGCTTCCAGTTTTTAGTCCACTCAATCAGGTAAAGACCAGGTGCAGCAAAAATAACCCAGGTAAGGTTTAATCCAGATTAGGGTTGAGCAAAATTGTATTGTGTGCAATTAATCGTCAGAAAAAACTTTGATTATTTTTTGGCACTTGACGATTAATACGATTAATGCCGTCAGTCCACTTGGTGCTCCTCCTCTTCAAATATGATGAACATTTAAAAACAAAGTTCTGTAATTTATTAATCATAACTCCGGTTTTACTTGGTTTATCAACACAATTGAGAAATTGATGTAGCTCCTGAATTCTGTACTTTTGACACAATTTGGAACAGTGTTTTAAGGAGAGCATTTCTTTCCCACTAGAGTGATTTAAAATGGTCATGTGACAAGGATATGAGGGCGTCCAGAGGCCACAGGGGATTAATTGTCATATTAATCTTTACCAGCTAAATACGACAATTACCGTATTTTTCGGACTATAAGCCGCAACTTTTTTCCTGAACTTTGAACCATGCGGCTTATAGTCCAGTGCGGCTTATACGTGGATTTTTTCTACAGCCACCAGGGGGCTCTTATGCTCCATTTGCTTCAACCATTCCCTTCAAAAAAAGAAAGGAAAAAAAAAGAAAAAAGCGATCACTTCCAGAGCAGACTGTTGTACCAGGAAGCAGCGATTTAAAGATAGTCAGTGGCCAAAAACTCATAAAAGGGGATAAAACAGACATTTTTCACGGTGGAATCTGACTGATAAAAACTTTGGAGCTTAATCCAGGACAAGTTTGTGGATAAACGTCGAGTGAAGAGCCGCAGACTTTTTTCCCGCATTGCACTCTCCGGGGAAGGAATCCCATGCAGTGACGTATGCTGGAGCGGGAGGGCTTTCCCAGCAGCTAGGCTCTGGGTTTCCCGGGGGAACTATGAAAGGTCAGTGCGAAAACAAACGCCGAACAACCACGTGACGGCGCGTCGACCGGTCGACAGCTGAACGACTAGCTTAGCCAGAGGTGTAGCGCCATTTTGTTTTAGCTAGTAGCAGACACGACACGACGGATCTTCGACAGACACGATATTGGACAGTATGCGGGCCCAAATCACGGATTCGGTGAAAGCAGCCTTCAAGAAAACAAACTCAATTCRTGCTGTTATTCCTGGAGGTACAACAAAGTTTTTGCAACCCCTGGACATCAGTGTGAATCGTGCATTTAAAGCAGCACTCAGGGGTGAATGGGAGGCTTGGATGACTGACGGGGATGCGAAGAGCGTCATTTCCTGATGTCTGCCAGTGGATCCTAACAGTGTGGAGCAGAGTGAATGAGTCCACCATCACCAATGGGTTCGAAAGGCTGGACTGCTACGTGAAGAGGACACCACAGCTTCAGAGCCAGCATTACCCCGGGAGGACAGCGACACAGAAAGCAACACTGAACTGATACCACTGTGTGACGCAGCTTTTCTCAGCTTGTTTAACTCCGACACTGAAGAGGAGGACTTCGATGGTTTCAGTGCACCGGAGGACGATGAATGAGACGTTTTGTTGGACCAGAAACTGTTAAAGAAAACTACCAAAATAAGGTCAGTTAAATGAACCGTATTCCTCCAAACTTTGATTCCTAAAGGTTTGCTTTTTATGTTTTGATGTTGAATTCACTTTTTTGATGACAATTTTGGGTGTACTGTTATTTTTTTATGTTGGGGGTGTGGCTTATAGTCCGGTGCGGCTAATATGTTAATGTTCGCTGGTTTTTTTTTTTAAATGGCAGGTGCGGCTTATAGTCTGAAAAATATGGTAATCGTGATTAATTTTTGGGCTAATATCGCCCAACCTTAATCCAGATTACTGCAGTACAAACTCAGTCTTTAAGTCCACCAGAGAACTTCAGAGATGTTCGTTGGAGTTTATTTTCATGGCAAACACAGCTAAAAATGATACAAATGATTATTTTCACTGTGGAACAAGAACAGGACTGGGTTGTGTGAGACTGCTCTGAAATCAGAAAACTGTGAGTGAAGAAATGAATCAATGATTAGAGCTGATTACATTTCTCTTTCTATAAATACAGCTGTCATTTACATGCACACATGCCATGTATGTAAGATTTTCTGTCTCACGAGTGTTGACTTTAAAGTACCAGTGAGTGTTTCCTGCAAATACAAAAAGTGGAAGAACACCTCAATATTTAAGACATCTGGCACAGTACATATATCTGGCGTGTATTTTTTTAACTTGATGCGGTCAGAGTAAAACAGAAAGTGACGACAAAGAGGAACTTTTGCAAAGGGGATCTCCCTGAGCTCAGTCTTCAAACTCTTTGTCTCTCTGATAGTGACTGAAAAATAATCTCTTCTTTACTGTCTGTGTTGTTAGCTCATGTAGCAATGCTCTGTTTGCATGCAGGTGTTCCTCTTTGTAATCACTTCCTGTTTCTGCGCATGCAAACATCTCAACAACTCTTTCAGCCGCATGGTTTATTTTGTTTGCGATACACTATTAATATTATGCAATGAAAAATGTGATATCATGGCCACTTTAAAGCTACTTTTATGGAAATGATTATTAAAAAAACCAGTAACGTACTTCTAAACAGATCCTAAACCTTTTTTTCTTTTTGCTGTGTTTGTTTTTATTTTTTGCAAGAAAATATCAAAACAAATGTCTAAGCTGGTTTAAAGAGACACAAAATTGTAATTTTTGTTTAGGTTGGTAATGACTAGTGGTCTGAAAAGGTGCAAGAGCGGCTTTAAAATCCGGAGTCATCACAGACTTTCTTCATTTTGAGCAATGAAACGGGGGATTTTTTCTGTCGAAACTCAGCCGTGACGTAACCCTGTTCTGCCGGCTACAACTACAGAGACGGCTTCTACAAAGTAAACCACACAAAAACACACATGTATGCAGTTGATTGTCTGTTGTAAACACGCACGTTGTTTGCAGCTGAATCCCGACAGCCACGTAACGCTGAAAGATGAGAGGAAGGATTAAAGTTCTGGAAATCAGATTACCAACAAGCAGCGAGGCTTCCAGAACAATATTTGAAATATTTTGATGTGCCTGAAGGATTTCTGAAGAAGATCCCGTATGTCGCTGGAGACTATGAGAAGTGACGGTGTGCATTTCTGTCTGGTTGTGGCACACCTTCCTGCACACTGTGGAGTTTTTTTTTAACAAGCTGAGATAATGCCTTGGGCATACCCTCAGACAGGGTGTGGAAGGCAGTCGCTGTGTGCCATTGTTGTTAATGAGACGCCGGGTGTTCAGTGTCAGACTGGCAGAGGTGTGAACAAGGGTGGTAAAACTGACTAATATGTGCCTCAACACCTGTCAATTATTTCTTCTTTTCACACAAATGACACAAAAACTGTTCTTCACTCAAGAGATTTTGATCTTATCTAACTTTTTTTCTCAACCTGTCGCACCGAGTAAACTTCTTCTGCACTAACTGTCAGCCTGACCACAGTCTCCCGCATTTCCTCCTTTCCACTCGCTCGCTTCCCCTTTCAATTTCCCAGCTCTCGTTAACCGGTTCTGTACTGTGGTGAGTCTGCTGCGGCTACCCGGAATGGTCTCCACAGTGACCAGGGAGCGTGTGCAATAGAGGATGACCGGCTAACGAGAACTGCACCCAGGGTCACACATTTTCCTAGAACCGACGGTGGCCTGACTGCACCTCGTTGTGGTGTCTGCAGTCTAGACTGCATGTGGTCAAAAACAGGAAACCAGATTGCAAAGACAAGATACACAAACTGCTGAATGCTTTTCATCTCACTGAAACAAGCTTACTAATAAAAGCTGCGTGTCAGGACACAGACCTCTCGTAAACATGTGTAGATGGGACACACCAGGACCCTGAACGGGTCACCGGAGCTGCTCCTCATGGTACCAAACACCTCGCACAGAAAGGTGATGAAACCCAACCACTGCTCCACGTCGGACTGCTGGAGGGCCTCGCGGCGGGAAAAGTCCCTCTGTTTATGGTGGAGAAACACACAAAAACAGGGAAATATTTAGTTTAAAGTAAACAGAAAGCTTTCAGCACACACAGCTATGTAAATGTTATATAAACCGCCGGCAGGTACAGAAGGTGGATGTTTAAATGTTCAGAAATTTAAACCCAATCTTTCCTGACCAGACCATTGATCACCATTAACATCTTTGTGATCTCTCTGATGGGAGTTTTTGTAGGTGAGACACGTTTTAAAGTGCCTGTGACATGCCTATACTTCAAATACAATAAATCAAAGAAAGCATCTTTATACTTAAGAAAAATTGGCATAGTACACATGATTTTACCCATTTTGTCACATAACTGGCCTATTTTCTTTTAAATTTAGCTCAGCCAAAGTGAAACAGGAAGTGACATCAAAGGGGAACTCATTAATAAAATAAACTCGCCAGTCTTGGTTTATTAAAACAAAATTCTTTAAACTTTAACTCTTCTTCGTCTCTCTTTGATAGCGACTCAAAATAATTTAAAGAAACAGATTCTTCTCTACAGTCTGTGTTGTTAGCTTTTATAACAATGCTCTGTTTACATGCTGACATTCCCCTTTGACGTCACTTCCTGTTTCTTCACATGCAAATATCTCAACAACCGTTCATCTGAGTGACGTGAATTTTGTTTTGTAATATGTGATCAATGTTATCTTTCCAAAAATGCATTTATGTTTATTACAAAAATTTGATGTCACAGGCACTTTAACCTTACACTCTAAGGTTCTTCAAGCCAAAACAGTGCTGAAAACCCACATTAAATACTTTTCTTTTATGTGCCAGAAGCAGATCAGACTGGTTTAGTTTCAGAGCATGGTGCTGTGAATGTACAGGGGTTAATATGGTTTAATGCTTAATGCACTCTCATATAGCTGTTACTCAGCTGGTTAAACTGAAACTTTATTAACAGTCACTGTCGCTGCTTCGCCTAGTGTTTCTGAATGCACCAGAAAAACCTGAGCAACTTATGTTCTCACACATAAACTGTCTTATGAGTACAAATACAACAAAAAAAAAGCTCCATTTTATTGTGCTACGTAGACAAAAGGCTTTAATAGGTAAAACGGTGGCAATTTTTAAACAAACAAACCTTAATTACCTTCTTTTAGCTGGCAGAGCAGCAGTCAAAACTAATTGCCTCCATATTGAGATCCAGGGGTCTAATGGCAACATCACTAATGAAGGCCTTCATCAGCCTACTTGTGACATTTAAAAATGTTTTATAGCATAAAAGCCAAAATGTCAAAGGCAAGTAGGGGGTCTGTGCTGGCTGGGTAGTGAAGATTAAAGTGAGAAATAAAAGGGGAGAAGGAACCACACAGCTGGGATCAAGGGGAAATAAATGAAAAGTTGACAAGGGGGGTCAAAAAAGAGAAAAAAAAAAAGAATCAAGGCAGGATTATCAATTACTGAGTTTGGACTCAAAAACAGATTTGGATAAGAAAAATAAATGACAAGTGGTGAGGCAGGTTTTGTTTGCCTGTTCCTGGACTGTCTGGCACTTTGTCGCAGACAGAGCGAATGAGTTAGAGGGTGAAAGGAGGAGAACAGTGTGGAAACTGTACTGGGAGAAGAAGCAGGGCATTGGTCCGTGTAGTAATGGTAATGGGTGACAGGAGGTGATAAGACACAGAAACATGGGAACAGAGAGCTCATGAGGGCCGAGGAGGGGAGAGAGAGGCAGTGAAGTATGTAACGCCTCAGAGGATGTTTTCATTCAGGGTGCAAGACTGGAACATGCAGTAAAGTGAGGAGATGAAAGGTGAGGGGGAAGCAGGTCTTCTTGTCCTCAGGGAGTTCAGATTAGATACTTTGTCCGCTGACATTTACATCTCACAGTTAAGTGGCCTCCACCTGGAGGAGCTTTCTCTGGAAAAAAAGCTTAAATCATAAAGCTGAAAATAATTTTACTGTTTACTTTTAGATGATGTGAGTCTCTTAGATAATAGCGGACTTTATTTTTTATCCTTTGGTGCAGTTTGCACTGTGCTTTTTTGCAAGCGGACTGTAATTTATAAACAAAGCCACGCAGGTGATGGTCATTGCTCCCATTGTACAGAAATGACAGAGGCAGGACAGAGCATACACCCAGAAATAAAGATGGTGCTGTTAATACAACTGATTATTAAGAGTATCAAGAGCAGCTCGTTCAGTGGTGGTTTTGTGATGATATACTTATGTTGGGACAGCGTTGTCTAATGCGTGCTGCAACCTAAGGGAGATAAAATGCTCCGTGTTCTCTGACCCACAATGGTTCAATGTTTGTAGCGTAGTGTTAGCATTAGCAACACTGGAGGGCTAATGTTGCTTAGCTACGGTGACCCATGAAGTCCAAAAAGATGCGTGTTTCCTGTAGTTGGTTCGGTCCAAGGCCGGTCTGTATTCACACCAGAGTTCATTTAGATGCAGATCGAGACCAGCTCAAAAATGGGTCTTGGTTTAGTTGGTTGATCCACACCGAGGGTTCATGAGTGTATTCACACCTGCATAAAAGGTCCAGACCAATGGGGGAAACAAACCCTGGTCCGTTTAAAGCGGAAAAAATGCCAGGTGTGAATACACCTTTAAATTGTTTGGTCCTTTTATTTCAGAGATGACTGGATTGACAAAATGAATGGTTAATAAGACTTCAGAGGTGAAATGTAAAAAAAAGGCACACATTTAACAATTTTTTTTATGCAAGAAAACTGTCATTTTTTAAAAACCGTTAAAAAACAATGCTTTGAGATTCTTTATACTGAAACTACATAATTACAGGATTTTATTTTAACAAATAGTTGTTACTTTAAACTTAATTAACAGTTCTTTAGTCAGTTTCCTATTCAAGTAAAAGCAAAAACATTTTCAATGTTACTGTTATAATCAAAAACTGTGAAGAAAATATTAAAGTATCGTGCTTTTAAAATCTTCTTTTCACATTTTAATTATTCAGTTGGGGTCTATACAAAGTGGAACGGCAATGCTTTGGTCTAAATTCCTCCTTATTGTAGCTCTAGAAGCTCCTCTAGCTGCAACTCGTTTTGATGCTGTCTCTTTAAATGCAAATGAAGCACTTCACACCAGCCTCCTCCAAGTCTCACTCTCCACTCCACCCTGTTCAACCATTTTTGTCCTTTGACAATAGAGATATATCAGAGCTACCAGCAGTCAGAAACTTTTTATTTACAATTTAATTAAAATAAGTCAACAACAGAAGACTTTTCCGACCAGCTTTACAGGTTGGAGACAGAGTCTGACCCAGAGAGAGAGGAGAATGAAGGCAATGAACTTGCAGAACTGCAGATTCACAGAACTTCACAGGTAAACGGGAAGTTTATACCCTTGTTTAGATGTTCTGCAGAAAATATTGTGACGTAACAGTTCATCTCAAAAATCCAGGAAGAGAAATCTAAAAAGACGATGTTGCTCTTCTGTGTTGACCCATTCAACTTGTTTTAGAGTAATAATAAAGAAAACTGAATGGGTTGAAAAATACAACCCAAACAGAACACAAAGATATAAATGCAGCACCAGGGAGACTAAATTAAACCTTTTCTGTGCATCTAGAGACTCCAAGTACACAATAAAATGTATTTAGCAGCTAAAAAAGTGGATTTTCATGATATGTCCCCATTAGAATAAATCTGAAAGGACAACGTTCAGCTGAAGTGATTTTTTTACCTGCAGCATGTTGAGCAGCAGCGATCTGAACTTGGTTCCCTCCACCATGAACAGCGCCATCTTGTCACAGAGTTTTGCGGCCGTCGCGGCAAAGCTCCGGTCCGAAACGGCCTTGGAGTAGATGGTGCCGACCACCTGAGCCAGCGCCTCCTCGGACTGAGCCGAACACTGCGCCTCCTCCATGAATGAGGCCAGCTGTTGCTCCACGCCGCTGCTGTTGCTCCTCATGCTGTTGAGAAGGTCGACGAGCCGATCCATGTTCTGCGGTCCCGTCCGTGATTCCTTCACTTGTGCCTCCTCCTGAAGCGAAAGATAAGAAAAGAGACGAAGGTTTGACCATAAGTCTCATTTGTTAAAGAGGTCGGTTTTACGAGACGCCACAATGAAGTACAGAGCGAAATGCAGACGGAGGGTAGAAAGTGAAGTAGTGGAGGATCTAACCATGCTTTGTGTGGTTTATGACTGCTCCAATCAGTCTAACAAAGAAAAGAGGTGTTATCGAGTAACAAAGATTGTCACACACAAGGCTGAGAAATGTAGAAGGCTCACAGAAAAACCCTGTAAAAAGTAGATTTTAAAACAAGTCTGAGGCCAGGAGGAGTCTGCTACGTCTGCATTGACCATTTCCTCAGAGGTATACTAACTAGCTAACTTGTTTCTTGTAGTTTTGTTTATTCAGCATTAGGTTGATGTAAAATACTTGCAATACTCATTTACTTAGTAGCGATTATTGAATTACAGTCAGATATGGACTTTGTAGGTTGCTCTAGTGCTATGTGTCGTTAGGTGTTGCATGTTCATTGACGTAGCGCTACTGCTAGCATCTTAACATTTAAAACAATAAGAGCCCACTCACCCTGGTAAAGACCAAACAATAATTGTGGAGCTGTTTGGTTCCAAGGTTGTGGACCCACCCGCTGACAAAAAGGTTATACAACTCTAGACTTTTATAGGCTTAAATCAGCTGCTTGGTTTAGTCAGATGTCTGAAGATAGTTTATGATAACAACAGCCTTGCTTGGCAAATCTTTAAGTTCTGTTGAAAACGCATTCATCTTCATGAGATACTGGTCGTGTTGATAATATTTGTGAACTAATTGCTGGTATCTTTGTTATGAAACTGGATCTAAAGCCTACAACGATTTCCTCCATAGACACTTCACTTCCTACCCTCCATTTGAAATTGCACGTCTTCAAAACCACAACTGAAACACAGCTGTTAGCTTCAATATCCTAGACTGGCATCATTCAGTTCCTTATTATTAATCCCTGCCTTGTTGCCTGTTAGGGGAGTTGTGTGTTGTCAGATCAATCCCCTCTTGGTGGTATTGAGGTAGTTACAGAGAGAGGAAGCTAATGGCAACACCATAAATCGATGACTCATCACTTTAGCACAGGGTGGAAAACATAAAAACTATTAGGTTACAGTTGTGGTCAAAAGTTTACATACACTTGTAAAAAAACATAATGTTATGGCTGTCTTGAGTTTTCAATAAGTTCTACAACTCTTATTTTTCTGTGATAGAGTGATCGGAACACATACATGTTTGTCACAAAAAACAGTCATAAAATTTGGTTCTTTCATAAATTTATTATGGGTCTGCTGAAAATGTCACCAAATCTGCTGGGTCAAAAATATACATACAGCAACATTAGTATTTGGTTACATGTCCCTTGGCCATTTTCACGGCAACTAGGCGCTTTTGGTAGCCATCCACAAGCTCCTGGCAAGCTTCAGGTCGAATGTTTGACCACTCTTCTTGACAGAATTGGTGCAGTTCAGCTAAATGTGATGGTTTTCTTGCATGAACCTGTTTCTTTAGCACTGTCCACATGTTCTCAATGGGGTTTAAGTCAGGACTTTGGGAAGGCCATTCTAAAACCTTAATTCTAGCCTTGTTTAGCCATTCCTTTACCACTTTTGATGTGTGTTTTGGGTCATTGTCTTGTTGGAACACCCAACTGCGCCCAAGACCCAACCTTCGGGCTGATGGTTTTAAGTTTTCCTGCAGAATTTGGAGGTAATCCTCCTTCTTCATTATCCCATTTACTTTCTGCAAAGAACCAGTTCCACTGGCAGCAAAACATCCCCAGAGCATAATACTACCACCACCATGCTTGACAGTAGGCATGGTGTTCCTGGGATTAAAGGCCTCACCTTTTCTCCTCCAAACATATTGCTGGGTGTTGTGGCCAAACAGCTCAATTTTTGTTTCGTCTGACCAGAGAACTTTCCTCCAGAAGGTTTTATCTTTGTCCATGTGATCAGCAGCAAACTTCAGCCGAGTCTTAAGGTGCCTTTTCTGGAGCAAGGGCTTATTTCTTGCACGGCAGCCTCTCAGTCCATGGCGATGTAAAACACGCTTGACTGTGGAGACTGACACCTGTGTTCCATCAGCTTCCAAATCCTTGCAGACCTGCTTCTTGGTGATTCTTGGTTGACTCTTGACCATCCTGACCAATCTCCTCTCGGCAGCATGTGATAGCTTGCGTTTTCTTCCTGATCGTGGCAGTGACACAACTGTTCCATGCACTTTATACTTGCGTATAATTGTCTGCACAGTTGCTCTTGGGACCTGTAGCTGCTTTGAAATGGCTCCAAGTGACTTCCCTGACTTGTTCAAGTCAATAATTCGCTTTTTCAGATCCACACTGAGTTCCTTTGACTTTCCCATTGTAGCTTTTGTAGCTGACTCTAAACACTGGGTCAAATGAGCCCTATTTAAATGGGCTCATGAGAAGTCAACAGCTGTAGTCAATCAGAATCACTTACAAGAAGTGAAGAGGCCATGACATGAAGCTAATTTGATTGACACAACTCGCTACATCACCAAAATTGACAAATTTTGTTGCTGTATGTATATTTTTGACCCAGCAGATTTGGTGACATTTTCAGCAGACCCATAATAAATTTATGAAAGAACCAAATTTTATGACTGTTTTTTGTGACAAACATGTATGTGTTCCGATCACTCTATCACAGAAAAATAAGAGTTGTAGAACTTATTGAAAACTCAAGACAGCCATAACATTATGTTTTTTTACAAGTGTATGTAAACTTTTGACCACAACTGTACATGTTCTTCATCTTCTTAGTGAAAACGTGTACTCTATAGACTAATCAAGCCTGGCACTGAGAGACAAGTACATCTGCTTTTCTTTGTAGTAACATTTGTAAATACAATAAAAGTTATTTCTGAGCCACATTTAAATCAAAGCTGGCTGCCTTAATACTAACTGACAGGCAGTAAGCAGCTTTTACCTTATCTTTTAGTCTCCTCCTTAGCCTTTCCTTTGACGACTGCAGGAGGTTAATTTTTGGCTGCTCAGACTGGCCTTTGCTTCTACTTTGTGGTGGATTGGGAGGATCCTCATTAACCCTCAGATCTGGGCCAGCATTTGTACTGGGTGCGGAGTCAGTTTTGGGACTCTGATTGTTACATTCTGGTGTCGGCCTGATTCGCTCGTCACCCATGTTAACACTCTCAGTCTCTTTGTCTTTGGTTGTTCTTGGTGGCACGTCTTTATCACCCGTAGTGTTTGTTTGTCTGTGTCCCTGGCCTTTCTGATTGTGGTGCCAGCGCCGGTTCTGGCTGTATCCATGATGCGGGGGTCCTCCTTGGCGTGGCCCATGTCCTCCTTGGTTCAGGCGAGGTGGTCGAGCAGCATTACGGTTTTGGTTCTCTCCAAGTTCTGTTAAATGCAACTCTTGTTGGTTTGGAGACAATTGTTGGGTTTGATCCCTCTGGCGCTGTGGTGACTGTTGTGTCTGCTGAGGCTGGTTCTTCCCTCCTCCTCCTCCTCCTCCTCCTCCACCTTGAGGTCGCTGCTGCCTCCTGGAATAAGACAGGGTTTTAGTTAGCATTGTTGCACTGAAGCAGCAGCTTTCTTCTCCTCTCATTGCTGTTTAACAAAGATTAAAGTGACAGGTTGGCCACGATCTAAACTAAGCTAACAAACTACCATCCTCAATAAGTTTATCTCACTAAATCTCATTCTGCTTACATTTGGATGCACAGTATGTCTATGTTTTCCTGTTCTGCATTGCTGTGTGGTTTTGCTGTACTGTCTGTACGTCTGCCAACCCTTGGACATATGGCACAAAGGATTAGTCACCTTCACACTGAAGGGAACACCATTGTCTGCTTCAGCTTCTTAATGTGCACAAATTCAACTAGCAACAGTTATATCATTTATTATAGATCAAACTGACCTAATACAAAATTCATTTTGTGTTATAGACTGCAAGTAAATATAGGCTTGTTTAAAAGAAAATTAGTCACCAGGACAACAAATAAGGAGCACTGTTTTTTAGTATTTTACAAAAAAAACCAAACAGATAAACTGGTTTAACTGCAGAGACTGCAACTATCAGGTTTAACATGTGACTTTTATACAAGTCCTGTGTCATGTGGAAGTTAGTACAAAACAATTTATTTTACAAAAGTCTTTAAAGCATTGTAAGAGCTACTAAAATTCCTACTCCTTTATCTGCGGTATCAGACCATCAATTGTTAAAGCAGAAGCTCGTTACACAAGCAATGTGTGAAAAGGCCAGATGATGCAAACATGTTAACCACATGTTACAACTCAATGTCTTAATGATTAGCAACTACAGTACGTGCTTTTTAAAGCGTCTGCGATTTACAAAACTACCTGTTACAAAACAGGAGACGCCTTTGAGAAAGTAGAAACGTGTTTGCAGACAACCGCTTCCTATTTTTACAATGTGAGTAGAAATCACAAGTGAACGTAAAAAAGGAACTCAATGTTCGAAAGCAAAAAAATGTGGAAGAGATGAAAATACAGAGATTTTAATCTAAAAAACCTTTCTTTCCACTTTTCAGCCAAATGAAAATTGAAAATAATAGAATTGAGCATAAAACATTTAATATGTTTGACCTTGAATTTTAATGTCTATTGGAAATTAAATCTCAAATTCCAACTAAACAAACAAATAAACAAATAGAACAGCAAAAACATGAAACAAATGTGCTCAAATTTTCTGCAATTCATTAAAAAAACCAGACAAAGTCCATGTTAAACTGCATCACAATAAAATTACTTATTGAGGCTTATTTGTACAACATTTTTTGCTCCTAATAAGATCAAAATAAAAACAATGAGACATGAAAAAATTGCCTAACAAATTTTTAGGAAAAACATTTCTTATCCACTTTTACAACATTATTTTTTATAATTTTATACAGTGAAGGTTCAGGAAAGGTTGGTAGAGACCAACATATCCTAAATTCAGCCATAAATCCTAGCTTGAGGTTCAGTTGGGAAAAAGCACCAACAGACATTTTTAGTGTCACCATGACTAAAATATCACGAAACAGAAGCATTCTGTCAAAAACTCTGCAGAGTGACTGCTGCTGCAACTAATGTCTTTTCCCTGCCATGAGGGCATCCACAGCCATCTCCTCTTCCTCTTACGGTTTTTAAGAGTCTGACTCTAATAATAATTATAGTGTCAACATCATCTCTTCATTTCTATTCGTTAGACTGATGTTTCTGTCAGATATTTGTGACCAATACAATTTTGCAGTGGTAAGAAATCACACCCAACCTATTAATGCTGACAGCCCTACACAGTAACAAGATTTTATGATACTGAGCTCAAACAACATGTAGAAGTCCTTCTTGGTTTCTGAAAATGTCTGAAACAGCACTGGTGCTGGGCAGATAACACCAGCTGACTGAAATGTCTGATTTAGGCAAAATAAACACATTGGAACAATTTTCTGTCATATTTATTTTTTTCTTAAGTAAGCAAAGATTCTTGTGGCCACCTGGCTTTCCATTACGTTAATCTGTTTAAAGATAGTTAATGAGTGTGTTATTTACATAAACAGCTTGGGAAATTTTAACCTATTAAACACTAAACATACATCAGAATAATTAAATTCTATCTGAACAAAACTATTCTGTTTTAACAAGAATAAATTGCTGAATGTATCTATAGTCTCAAAGTTAAAAAATACTAACATTTACCCTCCTTATGTGCTCCATGAGACCAAAAACTACATTTTTTACCATGCTTTTATTATTAAAAGAGTTATTACTGTAAACAAAGACACATGTTGCTCATCAGAAAATGATTGCAATGATAAAAACAATTATTGTCATATTTGTCATGTGAAGTCACATCATTGAGAATAAAAAAAACCTACTGGATTAACTGCTGTATTACAGAAATCAAGAAATCTATCAAGCCTCCATTTGGCTGTTTGAGTGAAAATATTTCTTTTAACTAAGCTACAAATGGTCTAGGACTAAAAAAAGGAGAGATTTCTTTCTGATTAACTCACTAACCCTCTTTTACTTTTAGTCTAATGCTCACACAACTGAAGTCTCCTCCAGCCTCCTTTTCTTCTGCTGATGTGGAGGCAGGAGTTAGACAATAATAACATTTTCATCATATTTAATGACTATGAGCTCTGCAGGGGACTGAGTGTTGTCCATCACTCATATTACTGTTTGGGAGATGCCTGTATTTTAAAATAATGACAGAGCCGCTGATGAAATTTCATCTCACAACATCTTGTTACTTAGAAACAGAACTGACTCAGGCAGGAGTAACCGTCCAACTGAGAGGTGATGTTTTTTTTTTTTGGAGCTGGATAACTACAGGGTATTATTCAGGTCTATTTTAGGGTTTGATGTCACCTTAGTGGTTACTGCTTTTTAAAACCTCCCCACTTTGCATTTTCTGAGCTTTCTGAAGATTTGATTTAATATCCGAGCTGAATTTTTGATTCCTTGTTGAGAAGAATGAATCAAGCACAGCTGCTTACAGTTTTGTGAAAAGTCAAATGTATCCAGGCTCAATATTTATTTCTCAGGAGCTTGATTCTGTTGTCACTGACCTGGCCGAGACCTGTCGTTTCCCCTCCGGGCCAGAAGGCAGAAGTACGGTTAAATGGTCTCGGATGATCTGATCAAATGGTCTACAAGCAGGAAAGATGCCAAAATGCAGATGTTTGGAAGAATTGATAGAGAAATTTAGGACAGGTGAGACAGATGAAGGAATGTGGGACATTTTGTACGCAAACCAGAATTTTTGTAAATGAAAAAAAGGAGAAAACAAGAGAAAATATTGGGGGGGAGGGAAGCAAAGCAAACAGAAAAAAATAAAAACTACAGGTTGATAAAATCATACAAAACAACACATACAGAACTACAGAAAAATGAATGCTATAGTGACAAACAAAGTTGAAATTAATGGACAGATATGATCACGGGAGGGGGCAGGGTAAGAATGATCAATCAGGACATTTTCTGTGAACCAGTGTATAGTTCATGGGACTGCTGGTTGACCCAGACAAAAAAGAATCGATTGACCTGAGGGGAGCGAAGCCTGCAGGCCAGACAGTCAATACGATGGCTAAAGCTCTTCACAGGCCACAACACGCTGACTTAATGCATTGTTGGGAGAGACGAGTTTCAACTGCCTGACTGAGCATCTGCATCATTAAAACTTAAAAAAAATAATAATAATCTAAATCAGAGCCACACTAAACGGTGCGTGCATTCATGCATTCAGTAGTCGTATTGATCATTCCCAATGTTGTCTAACAATCATTGTCTGAAGACGTTTGCAGAAGAGTTGATGCAGACAGAGATTAATGAGCTGTAATGTGATCAGAATAAAGAAGTCGACCTCTTTTAAACTTGGATTCTTTGAAACGGTTACAAAACAACTTACCTTTTACAGATAGCACTTTGAACAGAGTTTGTCAGAAATGGAGTTTATTTCTAACCAGACTGACAAGCTAACAGCTAAGTGAACTGTTGCCAACTTTAAACAACTCTAAACTTCAAAATGTCATCATTGTTTATTTAAATGGTAGTTTATGAACCTTTTATACCAGGAGGCTTCAGCATGCAGAGTACATCGAGTATCAGGCTGATTCAGTAGTGTTCTCGCTGAAAGTGTGCACTTCTGACCGAAACACATTATTTTATACATCTGTTTATCAATTTGCAACATGTTAGGTTCATGGTAATGTGTGTTAAAATATATAACCTTCCTCCATAATTGAAGACCACTGTTATATATCACTGAAATGTTTTGCCTTATTCAGTTTTCTGTCAGAAATATTATGCTGAATCTAACTGCGGGCATTATTTGCACTCATCATTATCATTATTACTCACATAAATTAATGTCAATAACAATTTAGTTCAAAACCATTTTTTGTGTGAACAGCTACAAAACAAACAAACAAAAAGTTAAGATTGGAATTGTTCAAAGGAAAAAAAAGCTGTTTAATTTTAGTACTTTAGTAATTCTGTTTTTTTCCAAACTGAGTTCATTCATAGAGACATCTACAACAGGTAAGACATTGACTGTTCATAACCTTTACACAGAACCTCACTCAAAAAAACTGAATGGACGGACACTTTAAATATAAAGCAGATGCTGTTGAACAGCTGACAAAATGTAAAACATACCAAACATTAGCTGTGTTTAAATAGCTCAGCCAGTCTTTCCTGATATCACACATTTTGTAAAAGAACAACAGCTATACTACTATAGTGATGATTTAAAAGTACAAGTTAGAGGTGTGCGACTGTGATGATGGGGACTCTAAATAATGTTTAATAAAATACATGTAACAGCTGTGACTGTCCTACAATCAAACAACCAATGCGTGGCTGGTTTTGATGTTCCGGAAAGAGGCCGTGGTTGTTCTACTAGGATGATGAATGAATAATAATGAGCAAACTTACATCCTGAAAGAAGCTACAAGCCAGACATTAATCATCACCCTCAGAACTTTCACAACAAAACGAAGCCAAGAGCAGGGTGCAGAAATGTCTGTCTCCAGGCAACTGTACGGACAACTTGTTGAGTGTTTGCAAAGGTCCAGCTAAACGTGGGGTGGGGGGGGTGGGGATCACACACGTGAAACGAAGGAGTCCAGGCTTTTTTGGCTCGAGGACGTTCATTCAGTCCAACTATGACTAAGATTTATGACAAGAGTCCGGCGCCTGTGCAGCTTCATACAGACTTGAAAGAATGCTCTTCTTTGTGTTTGAGTGAAGCTGTGCATTTATTGTTCGAGAATTTAAGCGACTTATCGTCTTACCAGAGTTCACAAAGACAAACACATTATTTCTATCATTTCTTCTCCCAGTTAACACTTCGCTGCAAACAATCATTTTTCAACCAAACAGCCAGCAGACCGGTGCCTAACGTATCATTTCTGTTGTGACTAAAATATAGCTGAAAACAAAGAGCATTTTTTTTGTAAAAAAAAAGTCTAAGATTTCTCCCAATAACCACTGAAGACTAAAAAGGTGTGAAGGAGAAAATGTGCTTCTTCCCTGTCCTCCTGTTCTAAAGCAGAAAGCAGTAACCAGCACATTCCAGTAAATCACAACTAATTTCAGTCCTGCCTGACGTGCCTACTAAAGTAGAAACACATGCACTACCTCTCTTTTCTTTTCCTCCCTGCTCCAGCCAGCCTACACTTTTCCTTCACTCAGTGTCACAGTCTCCTTCTGTTCCTCTTTCTTGTGCTTGGCTCGGTACAACACTCATGATTCAAACATGTAGTCGAGTGATCAATACTTCCATTTTTTCATCAACGCTCCCAACCAAGTTTAGTTTTCACTTTATTTTCATTTTCTTTTCCCTGTTGTGTTAAGGTATTACACAACAGCAAACAGCTCTATTATGGTATTTTCTGTTGTTTCTCATTACTGCCTCTGAGCGTCTGGTTGTGTTCTGTTTGTGAACAAGAAATTAGGACCACGGCTTGTTGGATGGACGAATTAAATGTACTTCATGAACACGAATGTTGGGCCTCAAAACAAATTAATATAAACTAATCAAAACTGTCTGCTTTTTAATTGTGGGTTGATAATTGTTTATTTTTGTCTTTAAAACTCTTAAAACCTACTTGTATTCCTTGTCTGTTGACAGTATGTAAGGGGTTGTGTTGTCCATTTTTAGCAGATTTTATTTTTTGTAGAAATTTTCTTGACTTTATTGTATATTTTAATTTTTATTATTTAATTAGATTTGAGGCATTTTACTGTTTTTATTTCCTGTTTTTATTTGTGTTTTTGGATTGAATTTGTATTGCATGAGCTGTGTTTAAATGTTGAATCTGTGCAGCACCTTGGTCTGCTGTGGTGAACAAAGTGCTTAAAGTACCGGTGACATGCATATCCTTCAAATACAAAAACTCAAAGAAAACATCTTTATACTTAAGAAAATTGGCATAATACACATGATTTTACCTATTTTGTCACATAACTGGCCTATTTTCTTTTGGATTTGGCTCAGCCAAAGTGAAACAGGAAGTAACATCAAAGGGGAACTCATTGATAAAATAAACTCTCTGTTTTTGTTTATTAAAACAAAATTATTTAAACTTTAACTCTTCTTTATCTCTCTTTGATAGTGACTCAAAATAATATAAAGAAACATCAGATTCTTCTCTACAGTCTCTGTTGATAGCTGTGTAACAATGCTCTGTTCACATGCAGACATTCCCCTTTGACATCACTTCCTGTTTCTTCACATGCAAATATCTCAACAACTGTTCATCTCAGGGGCGTGAAATTTGTTTTGCAATATTTTATCAATGTTATGTTTTCAAAAATACATTCATGTTTATTACAAAAATTTAATGTCATGGGCACTTTAACAAATAAAGTCTAATTGGATTTACAAATATTATGAACGTTAGCCTTTGTACAGGGTGAGTCAAAAGACACAGGACACCCTTTAATTTGGAAAGAAAGGGGAAAACAACATATCTGAATAATCCAGCAAGTAAAGGATGAGGGGGCCTATATTTTAGGCTATATCCAGAACATGACAACCATCTTGAAACACACCATAATAAATTAAGGGCAAGTTTCTCCAAAGATAGACCCTCTCACTTGAATATGTAATTTTCCCTTTTCTTTCTGAAATAAAAAGGATATCCTGTGACTTTTGACTCACTCTGTACTTTGATTCTGTACCATATATTTTGTCAAGATTTTATCTAAAATGCAACAGTATGTCTGATCTTTTTCATTTTCAGGATTTCACGCAACACTTTGAAAATAAGTTTGAGCCTTGGACGTCGTGGTGGGAAAAGAATCAGGCAGAACAGAAAAGGCACGCCACTGACTGTGATGTTAGAGAAGTGCGCTGCTCAGACTTTCCATTCCCTTCGTTTGGTGTTAAAGATCAATTAATCAAACTTTGTAACAATAATGAAAACAAATGATTCTGTCTCTCTGCCTGCGCCCCATTGTACAGAAAACACAGCAGCTCTGAGGAGATGTAATTATTCTCCGTGCTTAAAAACAGGAACGAAAGAACTTTCATCCATTTGGTTTCGATACAATTTCCTCGTTTTATATAAAACCACAAATACAACCAAAATATTTTCTCTTTGCTCGTCTCTTAGCAACTGAAGAACAGTTTTCCGGTGACATCAGGGCAGAGAGTGAGAGATTTATTTTCCTCTTTTTCTCTTTAGAGCTGAGTTTCAGTGAAGTCAGACTTTGGTGAAATTAGATTTTACAGAATATACAATCAAAGTGGATGTGGACTCTTGGATCAGGTTAAACGTAGCCAAGCAGGGCAAACAAATGTATCGTCAGAAAATAAGCAGGTCTGAGAAGAGTAGTCAAAAAAAGAAAAAGTTTTTTTTTATTTTTATGTCTGCAGTGAAGTGTAGAGCTTACGTTACTGTCTTGACTTTCCTTTGACTGTGAAGAAGTGTTAAAGACTGACAAAACACACCAAAAATATTTTTAAAAATATTAAAAAGGGATCAATGATTAATTGTAACATTAGACTTTATTTGATATGCATTTATTTTAACTGTAAAATAAAGACTATAAAAATACTGTAGTGTTTTATAAATTTTTAAAATATATATATTAACATGGACGGAGCCATTTTATTTACACGCAAAGCATTCTGGGTAAATGATGACGTGGATAGGTCCTTGGTGTGAGCGAGCTATATCCACCCTGAAGGTTAATCTTGGACAATATCTGATGATCGACTCTTTTAAATGAAACCAGAGAGCGTTGACAGAGAGGAGAAGGTAGAAATGACTCAGRCTGTAACTGAAAATATAGATGGAGGACAACAGAGCTGCTTCATGAAGAAGAACCTCAGCTTAGCCCGTTAGCTTTAGTGTTAGCCCTGATGCTATCACCATATTTATGTATTAGCTCAGCGCTACACATTCTCCTCTCGTCACTGAGGTCCTCCATCCACATGACAGAGAGGGGAACACAAAAATGACTCAGCCTGAAACTGAAAATATGGATGGAGGACCTCAGTTTAGCTTGTTTGTCGCGCTAGTGCCGAGCTAATACATATAAGGCAATGTAGCTTCGGTGCGAGCGTGAAGGCTAACAGGCTAAGCTGAGGTTCTTCTTCCATGAGGCAGCTCTGTTGTCCTCCATCCATATTTTCAATTACAGGCTGAGTCATTTCTACCTTCTCCTCTCTGTCAACGCTCTCTGGTTTCATTTAAAAGAGTCGTTCATCAGATATTGTCCAAGATTAACCTTCAGGATGGATATAGCTCGCTCACACCGAGGACCTATCCACGTCATCATTTACCCAGAATGCTTTGCGTGTAAATAAAATGGCTCCGTCCGTGTTAAAATATATTTTTAAAAATTTACAAAAATAAACATCCTACAGTATTTTTACAGTCTTTATTTTACAGTTAAAATAAATGTTCGTCAAATAAAGTCTAATGTTACAACTAATCTGGGATCCCTTTAAGACATTTTGCAACATGTGAGGCAAATCTGCGTGTGTGCGCACACAGGGCTGATGTGTATCATTACCGTCGGTCGTTCCTCCTGCGTCGGAAGAGCTTTTTGGTGTGAGCGATCTCAGCCTCATTAGGAAGTGGTGGGAAGACCTGCAAGAGACAAATCAATGAGTAGAAGAAGGTTGCTGTCAAATCAGCATTTGTTATCACCCTGTGGACACATGTTCAGTCGAACATACTTGTTTATGAGCACACACATATTAAATAGGTGTGCTTTTAGATGCAAGAGACATCAAACCTGGAGTTTCCATCCTATTTCTGATTGCACTTTAACCATAATTATTCCCATGTTAACAACTGACCCATACTTCGGCTGTAAATTCAGTTATTATCAATTAACAGAAATGGACTGAGGCGTGATTAGAATGACTCCCTCATTTACTCCTCTGTAATATGTTTAATAATGAGCAGTAAACTGAGCTCATAAAACACCGCCTTATTGCACAGTGATCATTTCTTCACCTGTAAAAAGGGAAAGTGCTAAACTTTAGGATTGCAGTTCAAAAGCAACGTGCATACTTTATAGCGTGGTTTGTGAGTTTTCATGAAAGATGCAGCCTTCCACTGCAGAAAACAAAGCAACCATGAAAAGGAAGGTTGACCAAATCGATTTGAATTCAAGCTTTAAAAATACATTGACGAGCTCCTCAAAAGAGACAGAGTGCAAAAGGGCTGCGAGTAGAAAAAATATACGTCTATAAGTCTTCCAGTTTGACAGTTTGGCAGCATGTCAGACGAGTTGTCAGGGGGAAAAAAGTGAATTTCATAGAATCACAAATGAAAAAACTTCAAAATGAGTCTTTTTCTTTTATTGTTAGTTATTTTTCACCGGCAAGAGGATTAGAATTTATGATAGAGTACAGTCTGCTGGACACTGCACCCTACTTATACATTTCACCTCTTCTGAGTTGGAAATAGGAACTCTGTCATCCATAAAACATCAGCCCTGTCAGTCAAAAAGCACGCTTTCCCTTCGCTCATCATCACCATGTGCTGTTGCCGTGGTTACCGTTGGTCTAGGAGTAGTGCTGCTGAGTAAACATGCAGTGTGCAAAGATGAACGGTGTTAAAGGACGAGTGCATAAATGAGCCCGACTATGAACAGCTGTGCACACACTGTAGTGTCTAAGACATGATACATGAGGGAGTATGAGGGAAGCATCAGGCCGCTCTAATAAGTGTTGAAGTCGGATGATGTCAGTGCCGTTGCTTTTCAGGACCGACCTTTGTGCAGACAGCTGCCTGCTAATAAAAGAAAAGTCAAAAAGAGCTGAATGTTAAACATACACACAAGCATGCCACGCGCACACACTCAATTAGAGTCAGTGTGTTCAGCATGAGAACTTTTTCTATTGTTTTTTAAAATGGACATGAGCATATACTGTTTGAAGATAGTAGACAAAGAACCATGTTAAAAAGGCACAGCATTTTGTTAAAGTACACTTTTTCATCCAAAAAAAATCGCTTTTATATTTACTGTGTGCAGAATGTTGTCACTTAGTGCCCTTGCTGGGCCAAATAGGAGTCACCTGCAGGCCACATCTGGCCTATGGGCCTTGAGTTTGACACATGACCTTGTAGATAAGTGACATGCATTTGAACAAAACGTGCAACAGCTTTCACCCTCAACTGTGAACAATAATGCTGATCAATAACATTTAAATACCTCAGTTAGTGCTTCTAAATTTAGCCCAAACATTTAGCAAGAACATCCACTAATGAATTTTAAAAATTGCAAAAGCCCTAAAGCATTAATCAAGAAATTAGTTCCCTGTTAGTGAATTTTAGGGGTGCAACGATTAAGACAACTCACGATTCAGTTGGGTACTTTAGTGTCGCGGTTCAATATTTTTTCAATACAAAAAAGAGAAATTTCCATGCCCTTCTTAACTTAACTTGAAATTAACTATGAACATTTGTTTAACCTCAAAAGTGCAGTATTAAAATTAAATGTTGCCAAAACAGCAAGTTTCTCAGTGGTTCTGCCCTGACAATGCAGCCTAGGTGGAGTAGTTAAAAGTGCATCCTCTGAGCCTTCAACACAGAGCATCTTGAGAAGACAAGCTGATTTTAAATGTTAAAAATCTATATTGTTTTGATACATAGTGCATATTGAACCTAGAGCACTGTACTGAACAGGCTGATACAGATACATGTATTGTTGCCCCCCTAATTTTTAGATCTTTGGTTTGTTTTAATTGCATTGCTGCTTCCCTGTTGCATCTGTTGAAGTAAAAGGCTTATGCTTTTTAAACTGTGGTAATAAAATTGGATTTTAAAGGTAATTACTGCACAATCCTAAAACTTTAACATTTTAATAAAATAAAATACCATAAAATGACAAAAACCATGGCCTATTAATGTTCACAGTCCATATAAAAATATGAAAGTTTGTATAATAACCTGTTTTTCCTAAACAGAACTTACAAAGATTATTTCATAGTTTTTGAATATTTCAGCTCTATTTAGGCTATTCTCATTTACAGTTTTAGTTTCTTTTAGCATACAATTTGTATGAGGTTTGGGAACATTTTATTC